AACAGATACGCCATCGGTCCTTATGCTCCACATAACTTGGAGCCCATATATGCTGTATGTCCATTTGCATACACACACACACACTTACTTCTTTTGCCGGCTTTTCGCAGGCCTTCCGTGACAGATCGTGTGGGAGGACTGGTTCCATTGTTTGTCTTGAAGAGATTTTCAGCTCGGCCCTCCTCACGATAAAGATACCGGGCAGGAGTTTAGCTACTTCGAGATTTATCTTTCTCATTTGTACTGGGATGGTTTTTTCACTGATAAAATCACTCCTAGTGTTATTTTTGCAATACGCAGTTTTTGGACCCAAGCAGCATAATTACAGGTTCACGCTGCCGTTCTCGGCCTTGGTGATTCAAGCTATCAAAAATACAACTTCGCCGGCAAGAAGCTTTATAGAAGGTGAGTACGATTGTTTTTCATTAGAATTTTTTTTCATAAGAAAATTTATTGATTCAGTTTGTGACTGTATGCATGTCAGGCTCACCCAGCTGGGAGCGCTGTTTCTGACCGAACTGGGGCTTGCCGATGATCAGCACGAGTTAGGCATCGAAGGCGTGTATGAGCCGTTCCGGGACGAATTGTTTAGACGAATCTGGACAGTGGGATTATTCCAGGTAAGCATTATTTACTTGTTTAAGCGGCAAACTTCTAACCTTGTAAAGTAGCTCGTGAAGTCCTCAATTAGTTTATGAGTGCTGCCAGAACACTTACTGGTCCGTGTTTTGTAGTGGAAGATTGACTCGGGTCGTTCGTCACCAGAATTAAATAGAGTAAAAATTTCTATGAGATAGTGTTTACGTGTGTGGATCGCTGTGTGGTGTAGTGCTCTGAGCGTACGCGCACTGTAGAGAAGCAAAATCAAGTTTGTGACTTACTGGTAATGAATCGTGCAAACAGCAAATAAACAGGACGTGTGGCGCTTGGAATCTGTAGAGTCTGTGAGCATGGTTGACGAGGGCCAGGAGTATATCAGACGAGGTCGAGTCCTTGAGGAGCCCGTTGAGAAGACCGAGAGCCGTCCCGGTGAAGGAGAAAACTGCGAGACCACGAGGAATGGTGGGAGGTTTATAAAGGGTGTGGGAACCGCCCCAAAAGAGGATGTGATAGTTTTTTGGAGGGGTTGAAAATGTGAAAATGACAATTAAGGTAAAGTGAAATGTGAGTAGGAAAAATGGAAGTAAGGGTTTTTAAGGGGGTTAGAAAAAAGGGAATGAAAGGAAAAATAAGAAAGTAAAACGGCTGGGAATGCAAACGCATTCCAAAATAGGAGCAAAGTGGGATATAGGGGACGAATGTATAATTAGGTTTTTGCAGGTGTAAAAAAAAGAGGAAAGACGAAAATGCAAAAAACTGTAAGCATGAAGGAATGCAAATAGCGGTCTGAGTCATAGGCCAAAAAAGAAGAGAAAAGAAAGCAAAAGAAAATATTATATAATTTTATAATAAGAAGAGCATATTTTACAATAGTTTGCTGTCTTGTCCG